TAGAGGACACTGGTTGATGTATGCTCACTTAGCTGAATGTACCAGGGGTGGGGAAATTGAGACAATATTTTTTATAGTTTGGGTGTCACTAAAAGAACTAAACTTACCTTCATCATGGACTTAGGTCCCAGACATGTTCGGATGACATCAGCAATAGTCTGATGAGAAAAACAATATATAGATAAGCAAACTCCAATGTGCCTTTTAAAAAATGTATATTTGAGTTTAATAAAAATGACAGATAAAGAAGTTGTATAACAGTTCCTTATTTGTACTGGTGAGTTTCCTTAACTGGAGCTTCACATACCAAAGAAATCATGAATGTTAGGAGTAAGAGAGGAAGGGAAGAGGAGAAATGACAAAGTGTTATGGCTGATCCCCAGAGTCAGCAATCTTTCAGGTAATATGTCAAACTGTTGTGAGGGAGAAGGGGCTATAGCTGCTTTTGTCAATGTGGGAGGACACTCAACAAGCCCAGTTAAGTCCTTAGGAAATGTTTTCCCTGAGCTTCACTTTCCCAATTGTCAGACACTAAAGGGACTGCATCCGTTCCCTTTACAATCCGCCATGCACATACACTTGTTTTCTAAAACACCAGCTTTCATTCACTTCACATACTCCCTTTTGCTTTGCTGACTTTAGATGTAAAGTTTGGATAAGAAAAGATTCAAATACATCACTGACGGGCTGTTTTGATATTAAGAAAAAAGGGAATCAAGTCAAATTGTAAAACAATCCAGGGGGCCTCAAGAAAGGTACCTTGGCAGCATTGATGTTCCCTGATTGTACTTTCCTTCCAGATTCCCGTTTTGTACTCTGACCTGAAATGCATAAAAAATAAACAGTTGAATAATGTCTCATGACTGTCTTTGCTTTTTTCACACTTGTGACGAATGAAAAGTATTTATCAAGTGATTACAATAAACTTTGTGCTAAGAGACAGGGCTACAAACACAAAACTGAGACGGTATACCCTCAAAGAGTATACCTTCTAATCCTGGAGACAAGGCGTAAGATATGAGGGAGTGGTAGCCAGGAAAGAGGTGTTTTTCCAACACTACTGAGAAAAAAAATCCACTGTCTTATAGTGACTTAGAGAACCCCTCATTTTCTTGGTGTTATTTTTTTACTAGACCAAATTCCAATGACATTACAGGGAAATGAGAAAAAATAGTTTTTAATGGACGTCTCATTCATCAAAACTAACCACACACTACACAGTGCAAGAGTGTGTGTAAAAGTAGCTAGGGCAGTAGTTGAGGATGCTATATGTACAGATGACTTCCAAGGTTCCTTCCAAGCTCTAGATCCACAATCATATGATTCCACCTCTTCAGGTTTAATGAATTCAACTCTTTCAACATAAGACAACCAAGGTCAAGAAATAAGTAGGCCGCAATTCCTGACAATACAATGTAACTTCTAATGTGTTCTGTGCCCATCTCAGAGCCCCATGAACAATGTCTGAGGACAGGACTGTGTCTGTAACTCAAAAGAACAAAACTCGACATACGCTGGGAAACAACTACGGGAGTTGATGGAGGAAGGAGAAAGAACCACTTATAGTGAGAGGATAATGGCTCGTAGAGCACTCTAAGCCTTACAAACCACTTTCCTCACGAAGACCCTGTGGGGAGAATAGTGCAGATAGTTGTTTCCATTCTACCGATGAAGAAACTGCGGCTCTGAGAAGCGAAGGGCCTCTCCTCTAGGAGAACCTCAGCGTCTCTGCTCCAAGGGCCAGAGCCCAGGCTACCTCTCGGGTCAAGGATGTGTGTGTGTGGGGGGGAGGTTTGCGGCAGATGGGGGGGAAATCACGTGGGGAGGGGCATTAATGAATCAAGGCGGCCGGAAGGGAGGCCTATAAAGGGTTCCTTCCCTCTGTGGGAGAGAAGTTCTGGGGGGAGGTAAGGCAGAGGAGGGGTGAACCGCAGGGCCAGGGATCCCGCACCCGCGGGAGATCCGGGCGTTACTACGGGCAGATGAAGCGGCGCGCCGAGAGATCAATTGCGGGGGGTTTCTGAGGATCAAGGGCCTTCTGAGAAGGGTGTAGGGACGCCTGGCACGGACAGTCGGGTCGGCCTCCAGTCCCCCACGACTTACTGAGCACGAGCACGGGGCGATGGCCCATCATGGCGGCGCGGAGCCGGGAACCGGGAGGTAGGCGAACCGGCAGAACCTTCTGGAGATGGAGCCAGAATGCGGTGCCCAAGCAGCGCTGCCACTACAGCGCCTACAGCTAAGCGTGCTGTCCTTTGTGCTGCCGCCAATCCCCTCACACGTCTCGTTGACAGGCACCAATATAAGCCAATCGATACCTATAGTCCCGCCTCTCTGGCCCGAACGGCTATGCAAGCTAGGTAGAGAGGACGCCGAACGGAGGGGAGGGGCAGCCCAAGCGCAGGCGCAATTGGATGACCGCTCCCGGCCGGGCCGCGTGCAGAATCTTGCACGCCGGTGTCTTCCACGCAGGCGCCGTAGTACAGGCGGTTGATTGGTTGGTGTGTAAGCGCAAGCGCAACAGCTCCTGGGTGGGGCTCTGGAAGCGGGGAGGGTTTATGCTTTTGTTTTACATAGCAGGTGAGTTAACTGAACCATCTCCTCCGGCTCTACCAGGTCTCTGAAGAACTAGGAAGACATAACAGCCTTCAATCAGTCAGTTCGAACCCAGCAAAGGTGAGGGAATGGGGTGTGGGAGAGACGTCAACCGGCGTTAGAGACAGATACGTGACGTTTTGCCGCAGGGTGATATGGGAATTGTAGTTTTCAGGACTGGATAACGGTACATTCCCTGTACATGCTGGGATTTGTAGTTGGTTGCCCAGTTAGCTTTGTGACCGAATCTTTGCCTTCTTAAGGGTATTGCTGTTCACGCGATAACCAGTAATAATAACTCACAATTATATACCACTTACATATTTACAGTGCACTTTTCTTACAAAAAGCCTTGGGAAACGTGTAATTGGAGCAGCCTCATTTCACAGATAGTCAATCAACAAGTATTTTATTAAGCACCTAGTGCTGGCCTCTGTGCTAAGAGCTGGGGATACAAAGAAAGGCAAAAACACAGTCCCTTCCCTGTAGGAGCTCACCTTCGAATGTGAAAGACAACATGCAAACAACTGTGTACATACAGATTTATCTGGGAGGAGGGAGGAAAAAGGCAGAAGGTGGTATTTGAGCTGTCTTGAAGGAAGCTAGGAGGTGAGGGAGAACAAATCAATCAATAAGCATTAAGTGCCCACTGTGTGCTGAGTGTCCTGGTAAGCAATGGGCATGTAAAAAGAGGTAAAAGATAGTTCCTGTGCTCAAGAAGTTTACAATCTAACAGGGGAAACAACATATAAACAAATCAAGCTATATACAGAATAAATAGGAAAACATTAATAGAGGGAAGGGGTTGGGTAGGGCTTCCTGTAGAAGATGGGATTTTAGTTGGGACTTAAAGGAAGCCAGGGGAGTCATTAGGGAAAATTGAGAAGAAATAGTCTTCCAGTCATGGGGGAAACCAAAGAAAATGCCCTAATTTGGGAGATGGGAGTGTCTTGTTCAAGGAACAGTCAGAAGTCCAGTGTCACTGGATTGAAGAGTACCGGCAGGGAATAAGATGTAAGAAGACTGCAAAGGTAGGAGAGGGCTAGGTTATGCGGGGCTTTGAATGACAAACAAAGCATTTTAATTTATTAAGTAGAGGAGTAACATGGTCAGCCGTGTGATTTAGGAGGATCACTTTGGTGGCTAAATGGAGGATGGCTTGTAGCAGAGAGAAACGTAATTCAAGAAGACCCGTCCATAGCCTATTTCAGTAATAGAGAAGGTAGGAGAGGAGAGGGGGATGGTTTGGGGGGAAGATAATGAATTTTGTTTTGGACATGTTTAGTTTAAGATGTCTATTGGAGATCCATTTTGAGCTGAAAGGCAGTTGGAGATGTGAGATTAGAGATCAGCAGAGAGTGTGGGGCAAGATAGGTAGATTTGAGAATCGTTAGGGTAGAGATGATAATTAAATTCTTGAAAGCTAATGAGATCCCCAAGTGAAGTGGTATTGAGGGAGAACAGAAGAGGGTCAAAGAAAGAACTCTGAGGCATACCTACCTTTACTGGGAGTGACCTGGATGAAGATCCAGTAAAGGAGACATAGAAGTCAGACAAGTAAGTGGAGAATCAGGAAAGAGTGGTGTCCCAAAAACATGGAGAGAAGAGGGTACCAAGGAGGAGAGAATGATCAACAGTGTCAAAGGCTACTGAGAGGTCAAGGAGGATGAGGTTTGAGAAAAGGCTGTCATTGGATTTGGCAACAAATTAGTAACTTTGGAGAGGGCAGTTTTCAATGGAATGAGGTGGGAAGCCAAATTGTAAGGGGTGAAGAACAAAGTGAGAGGAGATAAAGTGGAGGCACCTATTGTAAAAAGTCTTTTTGAGGCTTTTAGCCACAAAGGGCAGAAGAGATATAGGACTAGAGTTAGTGGAGATGGAAGGATTAAGTGGATGTTTTTTGAAGATGAGGGAAGACATGTGCATGCTTGTAGGCAGTAAGGAATGGGCCCAGAGTTTAAAAATAAGTGTTAAGAGTAGGGAATAACAGAGCGGCAGTCTGTTGGAGGAGATGAGATGGAATGGGATTGCTTAAACAGGTAGAGGGTTAATGTTGTTAAACCTAAGTCCATTTCATCATGTGAAACAGGGATGAAGAGGAAGTAATGGCAAAAGGCATCTGAGTGATAAGAGAGCAGGAAATAATAGGAGATGAGGAAGAGGTGGGAAGAGGGAGCTCTTGGCAAATAGCCTCAATTTTTTCCTGTAAAATAGAACGTAAGCATCTTAGCTGAGAGAGTGGTTGAAGGGGAACCGTGAGAGGTCTGAAGAGAGGTGAAAAGGTTTGCAAAAGCCACTGTGGAGAGCTGGGCAGTGAATGGGTGAGGGAGGCCTAGTAGGATTGCCTAGCAACATGAAAAGGACATTCTAGGATTGGAGAACAGCCAGTGAAAATGTATGGAGTGTGGAAGTGGAGTTACTGTTCCATGAATGCTACAAGATAGTAGGATTGTAGAGTAGTACATGAAGAAGAAAAAAGTATAAGAAGATTGGAAAGATTGAAAGGGGCCAGGCCGAAAAGGGCCTTCCAAGACAAACAGAATAGTTTCTATTTGATCCTGGAGGGAATAGGGAGCACCTGAGAGGCAGCCTGCCAAGGTGAGTAGAGAGCTCTCTGGAAGTGAGGAAGACCTGGATTCATCTCTGATACATCCTGGCTGTGTGGCCTGAAGCAAAGCAGTTAACTTCTCAGTGTTTTAGTCAGTTCTCTAAGATTATAAAATGCAATTAAGGTGTTGACCTGCAGAAGCCAGGTAGTTTCCTCACCTGGGAGTTCTCACACCAATAAAAATCACAAGTCCAGTCCCTGTTCTCAGTTTAAGTCTCCCAGATCATCTTCTTTTTTTGTTGCCATGTACTGAACTATTGGTCCTGTGGAAAGGCTGTGTAGGGATGGTTGGGAAGGTTGTGGGGATCATGGCAGCACTGTTTTTTGTTTCCTCATGGGATAGAAAAGGAAGGAAGGGTTGACATTGCCTAAGTTAGCTAGCCTAGAGTTCTTAGCTACAATGGAACACACTGAGAGCTGTGTGGGTAGGGTGTGATTTACAGAAATTTTCTTTTCAAGAGTCTTACAAATCTGGGTTGGGATAAGTACACATGCCCAGAAGCAGGAAGGTAGTACTAGCAGTCACCTCTGGATTATTTTGTGTTAGTAGAGTGAAGGTGAGGCAATGATACTCCCCAAGTAGTAGATGATACAAAAATTGTTTATATTTGACTTTGTAATGTAGTCACAGGTGTGGAAATACACAGTATCCTCGATGTGGTGGCTCCCCTCCTAGGGGGAATGGCTTAAGATCTATCAGTGTTATGGAGAGGGGGGTTCATAATTGACTCAGAGTTCTATGTAGTTGTGATAAGACTGCTTGAAATAGTACAGAAATGATATGTTATCCAGCCCAGTGATATGGCTGTTTTCTCTCAGGAACCAGAACTTTGCTAATCAGATGGAGAAGCTAAAAAGTAACTCTGCTAAAAGAAAAGGTAAGTGGCCTGGAAGGGGTCCCCTCTTCTCCTCCTTTGAGTCCAAGGCCCTCCTCATTATACCATAATGGTATCTAATCTGCAGTTGGCTGGGTGGATGTACATTTTTTTCTGCCATGTTTATTTGCACATTTTCACTTTTGCCCTTGTCTTCTCCATTAAATAGTCATACCCCGAAGGATACTGTTAGTTCTTTTGTACCGGTGCTCAGTGTACCTACTAGGAGGCTTTTTTTTTTTTTGCTTTTTTTTGGTGAGGCAATCAGGGTTAAGTGACTTGCCCAGTGTCACACAGCTAATTAAGTGTCAAGTGTCTGAGGCCAGATTTGAACTCAGCTCCTCCTGACTCCAGGGCTGGTGCTCTATCTACTGCACCACCTAGCTGCCTGGCTAGGAGGCTTTCTTAGCAATGACCAGACGCATGCTAGTAACTCAGGCCATCAGATGTTAGAGTATGGGTAGGCTGGTCCAAGTTAGTAATGACCTGGAATGACCTCTGGATAGGCATTGTGTGAAAGTCTGAGACAAAAACTGCCCCAGATTTCCAAGAACATGGCTGTATGCAGGCCAGGAGTGAAACCTTGTTCTGTGATTTGCCATGTCTAGGCTAAAGTCACACATGTAGGTAACGAATACATGATTTGTATGATATGAGGTGCTTCACAAAGCTATTTGCTCATTTCAGTTTATCCATAGCTTGGATTCCCTCATTTGTCTCTGGTACCTTAGCTGAGTCTTCCTCTAGCTCAGTAGGCTTGAGGCCACTTTGAAAAGGGGAATGTGTCAAGCTAGAGGCCTGGTCTAAAATCAAACCAGTGCCCCTTCCCTGCCATCTCAACTTTTGGGGTTCAATCTAGAATTAAAAACTGAAAGAACTGGACTTTTCCCTTCTATTTTTAGGTAACACCTTCCCCCTCCCTCTCAACCCTGTTCCACTCTATAGCCTACATTGGTAGTTGAAAAATATGACCATTTTATGTAAATGACTCCTCAAACTATTCATCACAGCAGGAAAGGCACTCTTAGTAATAGCTGACATTTATATTGCACTTTAAAGTTGGCACACTGCTTGATGTACTAAGTTGCCAGCTGCTTGATATACTCGTGTGATCTCACAACAGCCCTGTGAGGTAGGTGCTATAGGTAATGTTACCCCTATTTTACAGATGAGAAAACTGAGGTTCAGAGAAGTGAAGTAAGTGATTTGCCCATGGTTGTACAATTAACGAATATCAGAGGCAAATTCAAACCCAGTTCTCACTTGACTCTTTGTTCTTTGAGTCTAGTGTTCTGCTACATCATGCTATCTCTCAAAGTGAAGGCTTATGGGTAAAGTGATTTAAATTGTTCAGAGAAATATTAGAGTTACATTTCAGAGTGATGATAAGAGATTCAGAATCTGAACAAAAATTAATCTAAATTTCATCTCTTCTGTCTCCTGCCCACCATCTAGTAAATAGTCAAATGGCCAAAGATAGCCCAATCTGGAGGAAGAAGAGGCCTAGAGAATTCACAGACTAGGTGGTCACTTCTCTGAGTGATTTAGGAGTTAACTATATAAGCTTTAATAGCTTGACATTGAAGTAAGACTTTGGGGATGCTCTGTATAGAAAAGTTTTGTGAGGTCCCCTCCAGATATGGGGCACACCAAGTCAGGTACCCATTTATGTGTCACCCTATCTCCTATTTCCTTTCTCTGCCTCCTAAGAGTAGAGAAGAGTATAACTGCAGCCAACAATCAGAATGCTGTCTTGACACAAAGTGCCATGAAAAATAAACATGGAGGAGGATAGAAAAAGAGAGTGTATCGATTTTACCAGGTTCTTCTACACTTGGGTTAAAAGAATCAACTGCACAAGTATAGGACAGGAGAGACATAGCCAGAAAACTCTTCCTATGAAGAACAGTAAACGAGCTGATGGTGTCAGTGGACTCTAATCACGATAATAATATAATAATAGTACTCTTTGGTGTAACAGCCAAATTAATATAAAGATAGGGCCCCTTCTTAGGAGCGGTGTGCATAACTGTTAGAGAACTGGCCCTGGAACTAGGAAGACCAGAGTTCACATCATACTTCTTAAATACACTGGCTGTGTGTGACCCTAGGCAAGTCACTTAACCTCAGTCTGCCTCAATTTCCTCATCTGTAAAATGGGTATAATAATAGCACCAACTTCCCCCAAGTAGTCATAAAGACTAAATGAGATAATATCTGTAAAGTGCCTATCACATAGTAGGCTTTATTGCTTTTTTTTTTTCTAAGGGAGAATCCATTTCCTCCTCAGCCAATCTATTCTACTGTTGATCAGCTCTAATTGTTAGGAAGTTTTCCTCTACATTGAGCCTAAAACCTAAATCTGTCTCTCTACAATTTGCTTAATTCTGTCCTCTGGAGTCAAGCAGAAGAATGCTAATCCCTCTTCCAAATGATAGCCCTTTCATACTTGGAGACTGTTATGTCCCCACCCTTTTCCCCTTACTTACTTTTTTTCTGGCTAGTTCCTTCAACAAATTCTCCCATGGCATATCCTTTAGTCCTGTGACCCTGATGCTTGCTCTTCTCTGGATTTGTTCTAATTTTTCTCTGCCTTTCCTAAGAAGTGCTTCAGATATGATCTGAATGAAGGCAAAGGAGAACATTACCTCTTGTCCTGTCCAGAGGCCTCTCTTAATGCTGCCTAGAACACTATTTTTTTTTTGTTATGTCATATCACTAAAAGACATCCAAACTGTGATTAATTGGAATTAATAAGCTCTGTCCTTGTGGTGTCCAGCTGTCTGGAATAATCTGCCCACCTGGTGATGAAATTCATCTCATTCTTCTCAGCAGAGATGTGAGGGACTACAGCTGTGGACTGTCAGACATGGTTTCTATTTTGCTTAAATATTTTTTTGTTGTAAAGAGTTTTTCAGTAGTAGGATTGGGGATGTATATGGCAAGGGGAGATAATAATAGCTAGCTTGTGTGAAAATAAAAAACATTAATGACATTACTTCATCAAAATCATTGAAAAAATGTGACACAGTATGGAGTCCAGGACAGGTGCCTGGGCTTTCCACTAGAGACTACCCTACAAAATGACACTGACTCATTTGATTCTTTGGGTTCAGTTATTCAGCTAGTTCCAAATCCACTTAATTGCATTGTTTTTATTTTTATTAATTTATTTTGATTTATTAACCCCTTCCATAAGCTTTTGAATTTAATTTTTCTCCCCCTCCCTCCCCTCTCCCCAAGACAGCCCACAATCTGATATAGGCTTTAATTGTATTGTTTAACCCATTGGTTCTCAAAAAGTGGTCTGAGGACCCATGATAATCCTTAAGACCTTTTCAGGGAGTCCATGAGGTCAAAATTATTTTTGTAATAATACAAGTATATTTTAATTTCAAATATGGTAAACTTCAATAGGTATAACCCACATAAGCAAAAACTCTTTGGGGTCTTCAATAATTTGTAAGAGGGTAAAAGGGTCCTGAGACCAAAAAATTTGAAAACTGCTGATCTAGCCTGTAGCTCACCATTTTGTACACAAAGGATAGCATGACAGACTTACATATTTTGGTGAAATCTAAGTTTACTGTGTCTCCAGCAGTTCCCTGACCTACCATTCTTGTTTTACTGTTGAGGAAGGAAATTAATCAGGCTTAACCTCTTCTTGATTAAGCCAAGGTATCTTATTTCTCATTGCTTCCCTTTCTAAATGCTCACAAACCCATTCCTTTAATAATATGTTCTAGAATCTTACCAGGAATTAGAAATCAAGTTCATTGGCTTATAGTTTGCAGATTTCATTTTGTCTCTCTTTTGGTAGTAGGAAAATATCTGCTTCTCTTTAGGTTTGTGGTACATCTCTTATTACATAGCTTGTATAAAATGTCAGTGACAGTGGCTTAGGTAGGGCACCAAGGGACTCTCTGGCTATTTCTTGACTTATCTTGGGTACTAGCTCATTATTAGCCATTTTTAGTCTGTCCTTTTTCATCTCAAAATAATTGTTCTTTTTTATTATTATTATTAGTTGATTAATTTATTTTTAGTTTTCAACATTCACTTCCACAAGGTTTTGAGTTCCAAATTTTCTCCCCATCTCTCCCCTCCCCCACCAAGATGGCATGCATTCTGAATACCCCTTTTCCCAATCTGCCTTTCCTTCTATCACACCTCCTCCCTTCTCTTATCCCCTTCCTCTTCTATTTTCATGTAGGGCAGGATATATTTCTATATTCCTTTGCCCGTATATCTTATTTCCTAGTTGCATGTGAAAACAATTTTTGACATTCATTTTTAAAACTTTGAATTCAAAATTCTCTCCCTTCCTCCTTCCCCACCCATCCTCACTGAGAAGGCAAGCAATTCGATATAGGTTATACATATGTAGTCATGCAAAACACTTCTGTAATAGTCATGTTGTGACACTATATTTCCCTCCATCCTATCCTGCCCTCCATTTTTTCTGTTCTTTCCATTGACCCTGTCCCTCCTCAAAAGTATTTGCTTCTGATTACCCCCTCCCTCAATCTGCCCTCCCTTCTATCATCTCTCCCCTTCTCTTATCCATTTCCCCCTATTTTCCTGTAGGGTAAGATAGATTTCCATACTCAAATGAGTGTGTGTATGTTATTCCCTCCTTAAGCCAAATCCAGTGAGAGTAAGATTCACTTATTCCCTCTCATCTCCCCCCTCTTCCCCTCCATTGTAAAAGCTTTTTCTTGCCTCTTTTATGTGAGATAATTTACCCCATTCTACCTCTCCCCTTCTCTGTCTCCCAGTACAATCCTCTTTCATTCCTTAATTTTGTTTTTTAGATATCATCCCTTCATATTCAACTCACCTTGTGCCCTCTGTCTATATACATATACATATATATATATATATAATAATATATATATATATATATATATATATATATATATATATATATATCCCTCCAACTACCCTAATACTGAGAAAGGTCTCATGAGTTACAAATATCATCTTTCCATGTAGGAATGTAA